TTATTGAGAGAGAAAATGCTTACGTTTAAAGGGTGCAGTCTAATATAAAACGTAAAAAATTAAGTTGTATACAAATTGAAAATGCAGTTTAAAAAAAAAATTAAAAGGTCAATATAATTTTGTTATTTCTGTCAAGAGGGACTTAGTAACCAGTTCAAAAAAGGCACTCTTTTTGGATGGAATAATATTTAACAATAAATTCAAAATAGTCATTATCAAACGTTTTGCAAATAAATCACTAAATCAGTTCAATAGAAAGTTTCAAATTATTTATTATTTTCAATGTATTAATGATGTGTGATTTGTGTGTGTGTGTGTGTCTNTGTATGTTAGGCATACAATCGTTGTTTTGATGTTCGTGAGCTTTGCCTGTAAAACCAAATTAACAATAATTAAGAAAAAATGTTATATGTACATAAATAGAGAAAACGTTTTATTTCATCTTTTCTTTCGGCCTTTTTTTTCCTGAAAAGCAATAAAGATAAGGAGATGGCACACATAGATAGCCCCTTATCGTTACCGCCTCCGGGTGCAGACCATTCGGATGCGGTACGTGCTTGGAATGGTACTGGAATTATTCAAATCGCCTTCGGGCCCGAATTATAAGGTGTGCCCTGAATGGTAAGAAGTCAACGGCCAGTTTTCTACCGACGTTGTACGGTTCTCACCGTACGACTTTTGGGTCAGAAGTGTGAAAGATGTAGACGGAATGGGAAGCCCATTAGTTAGACAGGGGGAAGTAAAACACTTTCCAAAAGCTCTCTACGGGCTACGAGAAAAAAAAAATATAGCGGAGACGCAATATCGACAGTTTATATTACGAAAACCTCAGATGTTACTATGAACAAAATAATGAATCACTAACAAATAATACATAATAATTAGCGTATATTTGGAAAAAAAATCAGTTCAGGAATATGAAATATTTCCTGATTGTGCCAAATAAGCCAATAGAAATAGCTAATGATTGTTTTTGCAATATTCCACATACAAACCAATGTTAGGTTCAAATTTACCTGCATAATCATCTCATTTTAAATTTTTGTAAGGTCAAAGTTGGATTATGGATAAAGAATTTTCTCAGAAATTAGTAATTGTTCTCAATATTGAGATATAGATATGTCGAAAACAATAAAGGCATAAGAATTGTGCGTCAAGACTCGTGATCATCATTGATCTTGATTTTTGTTGATATTAAAAAATAATTCGGCTATATTTTACACTTTTGTTTACCTTTTACGTCTAGTGTTTTATAGGCAATTTTTTCAACTCAAAACAATATTAGGTTTTAGAAGTGTTAACGCTTAAAAGATTCACATCATCGGGTGATAGCAGCTCGTAAAATAGACATATCGTGCCACTTTAGACCGATAAATAATTCCAGTCACAACATTCCAAATTTGGATCGAGCTCCTTTAAAATTCATTATACATCCGGTGTACCGCTTATGGCTACGGTTAGGAAGGTGTCGAATTTACATCAACTTAGTTTACTTTTTTCGACAATAAGTGACAAAGTTGGACTTTATAAAGCTGATTATGCCAGATTTTGGCTCGGTTAAGAATCACTAGTTGGGTTAAAAATATCTTTTCATTCTTATTAAGAATTTACAAGATTATCACATAATAAAAATTATAGTTTAGAATTAAGACAATTTATAGAGACTATAAGATCAATATAATACAAGACTTTTATTATAAACAAAAGATAAGGATAAGGCAAAGCAAGAAAGAAAAAACTCTTTCCTTCGCCAATCTCAACAGTAATATAACACCTTCATCAGAACTTTGAAACTACTAATGATGATTCAAACGTTTTATAAATACAAACATCCACGAAATTATGCCTTTAACTATAATAAATATAAGAGTTTTACTTCGAAGGTAGACGAGATCTTTCACCCTTCCATTCTACATTACGTCTGTTAATATTAGAGTGTATTAATTTAAATTTGATTTTTAATCAAAGCCGAATTGTGTCCAGGTTAAGAATAAATAAATCGGGCTAATTCATTGACTTCCATTATATATTGTGGAAATTCAGTTAATTTAATCGAAAAATTGAAACGTTTTCGGCGTCGAATTTGTCATGTAGGTCCTGGGTTCGAATTCCAGCTCTTACTTGGGAGTTTTCTGAATACTCCGTTTTATTTTCAGCCACTGACTAGTTTAGTAGTAACAAGAAATGTCAAGCTTTGAGGAAAATCAATTCGTTTTACTTTCTTGTCTGTCCGGTATTGCAACCGATCATCTTCCGATATACAATATAATGCTAGAAAGTATAGTTTCCTAGAAAGGTGCACCTAGACAGTCAGGAAAAGTAATATCGGATTTTTTCTTCTTCTTTTAAATTACTCGTGGCCAATAAATAATTTTTTTATTGATCCCTATTGTCTTTTTATTAAACTATACGAAATTTTCTATACAGATTCGGTTGAGTTGAAAGTAATAAAATCGAATCTAGAGAAATAAATCCGCTTTCTCCGCATGGCTTGAAAATCTATGATCTATGCGTAAAATCTGCAAAAATAGACTTCTATTTGTTCCACCATGACGAACCGTGTGGATCCATCCAAACATGCATATTGCATTACAGATGCATACAAAATAATAATCAAACAGAAACTTGAAGCCTACTGGGTTTACATATAGTTTTTATCTCGACCAATACCTTTCATAAATATTAATTAATTGAAAAATGTTAATTGGTCAATCGGACCACGAACTAATGGATTTATATGTAGTATTATGTCATATACTTCATATGAGCATTTTGGGTTCTTATTTATTCTTTATAAACCAGTAAAGTAAAAAAAAAAACTCCAACTATTTTTAAACTAGTTATAAAATGGTACAATTATTGTGCCATAAATATCTTCCGCTTATTTTTCGATATGAACCAAGTTCGGCATTAAACGAAGCACAAAAAGCACTGTTCGTGCAAAGACTCCGATCGAATGTATCTTGTGAAAGCATAAACTAGGAAAAACACATGCGTTTACATGTTATGCAAGCAAAAATGTTTATTCTTTTCGAAATGTTGAATACCAAAGCATGGCTTAGAGGGAATTTTGGTTTCCAAATTATGCAATGAGGTCTGTACAAACACGAGTGTACGATGTTTTAACAACACTATTTCTGCACCTTTTACATAAGCATAAGAGTCAAATTTTACCCTTTTTCAAAGTCAAATTTAAAGCGATACAACAGCAAAGGCACAAATATATATTATATAGGTTGATATTTGTATTAAAAAAATTCTTCGCCCACTCGCGTGCAACTCATTTAAATTGCAGATATGCACGGTCTCGAAGAAACATAAGTGGACCAACCCAACCAGTTTGTGTGAATGTGTGCGAAAGGGAGATAGCGAGATATAGAGGTATAGATAGATAGAAGATAGATAAATAGATAGATGGACAGATAGAAAGAGAAAGAAAGAAAGAAAGAGAGAGAGAGAGAGCGAGAGAGAGAGAGAGAGAGAGAGAGAGAGAGAGAGAGAGAGAGAGAGAAACACAGACATACAGACAGACAGACAGACAGAGTAGCAGTGAGAAAGAGTTTGGAAGGTGTTCATATATTATATATTACATTACACATAAAAATTAAAAACAAAAATATTCGTGTGGCCAACCTCATTAGCATACGTTTTGTATTTTGTTACTTATTTTGTTGTATGTGCTTGCAAAAGAGAGATGGATGGAAATTAGACAGTGCAATTTTGTAAGAAACTTCAAAAGACAGTTTATATTTATTTTATATAATTTTAAACTTGAATTTGATTTGCGTTAGTCAGTTAACTAAAATATTCACTTTTTCCTAAGGAGGAAATAATATATGGCATATTATACTTACAAAGTATTAAATTAAATAGTTATTAGTCACCAATTTTTGATTTGACTTGTGCTGTTTCTTATTGTCAGTGTGCGTCCTCTCTGTAGTTCGATAGATTGAGAGAGGGATAGATAAATAAATATATAGACATAGAAATGCAGAGAGATATAGATAGACAGAGATAGAGAAAGAGATGATTGCTTGAAAGTTACAGATAGATAGAGGGAGAGAGATAGAGAGAGTGAATGAGAGTGTGAGATGGAGTGAGAGAAAGAAAGAGATAGGGGGTAAAGAGAAAGAGGTGGATTTTTCAAGTACATTCTATTTAACAAGACAGAATAGTAACACTTGAAAATGGCAATATATATATATACATGTTAATATTACTTCTTATATTATTCAATTTTGTATATATTAAAGATATAATGCATTTTTTGTTATTATTTATTGTTATTATCCAGGGTAATTACACATTTTGTTATTATATAAATATCATTATTGCTCATTACAAATTTTTTGTTTTGTTTCTTAATTTTAATAATTGCTTACTATTCTATACATAGTTATTATTAATATTTTCTCTTAGTGAATAGTTCTTTCGTTTTTAATGGCAAACTCTGTCAGACGGTATTAGCCATGCCATTTTATTTTACGGACGATTGAAAATGTAATTTGTATGTTTTCTTTTTAAAATAAAAAATATTTCGATCAATCAAAATACATGTCAATGAGAGTATTTATTTTATGATCTGTTTGGAGTCATATTATTATGCTTATTATCTAATGATTATTCTTGTTTAATATTTTATAGAAAGCTTATATGGTATATATGCATTTTTCGATCTTTAACATTGTAATTATTAATTGAATATTGTAATAACATTGTAATGTTTTTGTTTATTCATGTATGTCTGAAAGAATTATACGTTTTTGTTCGAAAACTTGCTTTTCTATATCAATGAATTTTCGATATATTTTACAAGTAAATTTAAACAAATTTTAACGTGCGAAAAACGTTTTTAGATAAATTATGGCTGAAACAACGTATGTATATGTTGGATATTTCCAGTTAATTGAAAACGTCAATAAATATGTCTTGATATCGCATAATTAGTAGTTTAAAAAATAAATAAAATAAATATTAACATAAAATAAGGACAAAATTACCTTAAATTTTCCCAGAAAAAAAATTAAGTTATCCTCTGCAAAAAGAAGACGTTTTCTATCCTAAAATAGCGGATTGAACATTCCGAACTGAGTTTATCGTTTACGTCGTGGAACTCGGAAGGCAAATAGCAAAAGAGCCGCAGTACTTTGCGGGACGGACTCTTAAGATAAAATGAGAGAACGGGGAAGGTGAAAGAAGGACGCGCAGGGTCGGCGTTCGCTTCTCCCTCTTCTAACTGATTTCAGCCGGCTGTCTCCATCTATTTATTCTCTATCTCTCTCCTAGGAGTGAAAACACTAAGCGCACTCTCAACCCGACGAAATGAACTTAACAGACTTCACCATGTTCTGAAGAACCTGAAAAGTGATCAGACGCAAAATTTAACCACCATTTTAAGCTGTTGTCTGCAAGATTTTTTCAAATCTGACAATTATAATGGCTAGGAAATCATACAACCAATAAAAATAGTTCTCGAGATATTAATGACGGTTGAATTATTTTTTCCAGGCTGTTTCGAATTAAGCAAGAAAAGAATTCACTTATTAAACTAAAAATAAACTTATAATAACAGTTTGTGCAATTTTCTCTGCTAGAAATGGAGTAAAAGGAAAAGTCTCAACCCAATAAAATAGACTTCACCTTATTCTGAAGAACATGAAAAGTGGTCAGTCCCAAAATTTAACCACCATTTTAAGCTGTTGTCTGCAAGAGTTTATCAAACCTGACAATTCTAATTCCTGGGAAATCATATTGTTCTTAAGATATTAATGAACTTGGTTGAATTATTTTTCCAAGCTGTTTCGAATTAAGCAAGAAAAGAATACACTAATTAAACTAAAAGTAAACAGATAATAACAGAGTTTGCCTAATTTTCTTTGTTAGAAATAGAGTAAAAGGAAAAGTCTCAACCCAATACAATAGACTTCACCTTGTTCTGAAGAACATTTAAAATGGTCGTTCACAAAATGTAACCACTGTTTTAAGCTGTTGTCCTCAAGAGTTTATTAAATCTGACAATTCTAATTCCTAGGAAACCATACAACCAATAAAAATTGTTCTTAAGATATTAATGAACTTGTTTGAATTTTCTTTTCCAAGCTGTTTCGAATTAAGTAAGAAAAGAATACACTTATTAAACTAAAAGTAAACAGATAATAACAGATCTTCACTTTGTTCCGACAAGTGAAAAAAGGTGCATTAGAAAAGTTCTAGGTAGTTTGTCTAATTTGCTGCTTCAGTTTTAAACTGTTGATCAACAGATGAATTCTAATGCAAATAAAACACATGCCACACAGTAATAACACATATGCACAGAAAACAAACACTTTGAGCCCTGAATATGATCTCAATAAAGATCGAAACATTGGGTCAATAAAGAAAATATTTTTCTAAAGGTATGTCACATCAGACTGCATCTCACGATCTCTAAATAACAACAAATAGTTTTAAGTCAGCAATTAAAAGTGTTCTACATACTTTATTTATTTATATAAATATAATAATATAAACAATATAATGAGGAAATCAACCAATATCTAATGCAATTTTAAAACCAGAAACATATAATATAAAATAGAATATTATTGCAAGTGATATCAAAATTAAAAACAAAAAAAATTAAATGAGATTTTCTAGCAGTCAAAAGCCTTCCATATAGTGACTCATAGGAAACACTCATACCTGGTGACGCTCTCCTCTTTCTTTCTCTCCCACAGCATGAGCAGTCTATCCAGGATCCTCCCATCTCTCATGCTATGCCCTATTGAAATTTCTTGTCTCAAACACCTCCATCTTCCTGGAGAAATTCAATTCAAAATTTACTGGTACCTACACCACAAAAAATTAAGAGGACCAAGAAAGAATAGAGAAAATCTACAAAACACAGCATATCATGGGTGTGAGCTACATTTAAAAAAAGAGAAAAAGATATGTCTCACACAGAGGATAGACTACCACCCAAACATTGCAGAGGGTGAAAATTATAGAATTATACATCTGCAGAGGACTAAATACAAGCTTTGATACTGATAAATGAAGAATTTTCAACAGAAAAGCTATCCTTACCATTTCAGTGGGAAAAAAGACAATTGTTAAGTGTCTAACAAATAATTACAAAATAAACTTCAAATTTGGTCGAACCTTTTGAAAGTTTAAATTAAAAAAATATAGAAGACACAAATCAGTACTCAGACTATTTTAAATAATGAATTAAGAGTGAGTGGATCTAGAAATTGATTGTGTTGGGGGCTGAAATGACCTAGCTGTTGATAGCCCCGGAGCCAAATCTTGGCAGTTGGATGGGTGATTCTCGAGGCCTGTAATTTATTGTAAATTACAAATTGCCAGTGAAGTGTGAGAAGTGATAGGCTCAACTCTGTACAGGCATGCATGTAACTTATATATAAATCAGTAATCAGAACAATCTTCCAAATGAGGGGACCTCTATAGCATAAATTGCTACCCGTGGTGCTCACGTGCAAAAATAGAATGTTCTGTGTATATTGTGTAATATGAGTACGCCAGCTGTAATTAATTGTAATAGAGAACCTTTTCCAAATACTCAAGAGTAAGTCTAAAATCAATAGTATCAGTGGTGCGGATGGTCTAGAGACGATATACGTATAGAGACGGCAAATAAGATTATATAATTGTTGGGTTATAAACATTTTACGTATGTATGTTTTACTTATTTGGGAAACTGTAAAACCAATAATTTGTAATGTAAATATAAAAGTGGTAACTGCTTGTTTGTGTCAGTGGCTGCAAATGTTTAGGCATTGACATGGGCTCATCACTGTAAAGTTAGAATCCAGTGGCCCTACATTTTTGAACCAGACATACTTACGAATGGGCTTTTTGTCAAAAACACCTACACCCACAGTTGAAATGTCCTCGTTTAAAAAAATAAAATAAAAAGATAGGTTGAAATAAGTGGTTGTAAAAATGTTGTATATACTTTATTTATTGTGCAATATAATATGGTAAATCAATATCAACAAAATGTACATGTTTTCTGAGGAGCACAACTTTTTTCCAGTTGTCTGTGGAAGGATACGCAAGACTCGACTCTCCGCTAAACGCTCATCAACCCCTTCTTCGACGTGACTAGCAGTAGTAGGTGTTGAAAGAGGTGACAAACCTTGGTGCTGGAAAATTCAGTTTGTACATAAATATTATGTCGGATCTCGGCTAATATAAAAAAATTATACCAATTCGAACTGGACTTACTTGCTCTTATCAACGCCACAGTGGCTGCAAAGACTATAATATTGCATATAACGGAATTTCTCGCCATTCGCTTTTCTTGTTCGGCGTGTGCTCTGTTCGTCGGCCTTAACCGGATCATTTTGACCGTCGGAAACTTGTCGAAATTCTTAAATTCAAAAGCTTCAACTGAGCTTTTAACAAGTCCGGTGCCTTATCAGGCGAGCGGTCGATAAATTAGAAAGGGATGAGGTTGAGTTCCGATTAAGAGAAAAGGGCAAAATCCGCACGTGGGAAAAGCAAACATCATCCAAATTCTTTTTCTTTACTTCTTTTATTTTAATTTTCAGTAATAATTCTACCAATTCTGATTTGTGTTTGTGTGTATGTGTGTTGATATGAATTGTGTTAAATATGTTCAAACTTCAATGTTTTAATTCATGTCTGCACTGGTCTCTCAATTGAAATTTCAATGAGGTCATCAAATACACTCAACAAATGGAGAAATGTTTATTTATTATTTATGAATAAAATATCACTTTCGACTATAATGCTCCAAAAACAACGACTAGTATCTTGAAATTATTTTAAAAAAAGCCTCAAACTTGTGATGTATTATTGAAACCTAACACAATGATGATAGTTGAAGATTTAAATGTACCAACTTCTGACTTTCTTCACTGATGAAAATGCTTGATTCAACTTTAGGATTGATTGGATATAGAGTTCATAAAACTTAAATTCTGCAACAGAAATCAATTTTATACACTTCTATTATACATACCATAAAGCTGTACAAATTTATATTTTTCATTTATTTATTCATTTTTCTTATACAAATTATTAGAAAATTTAATAGATTGACCAGAATCAAAATTCTTTCTTCATTCATCATCATAGAAGCAATTAAACTTATCATTATCAAATAGACTGAATTTAAAGAATATCTGAACTACCTGGTGACATTGATATTTTCCACGCTTCTTTAAATATTTTAAAAGTGTTGTTTAATGTTTTTTCTTTAGATTCTTATTTATAATATTGCTCATCTTATTTATTCATGTTATTTGCACTTTACTTCATTCTATTGTTCAATTATTATTTGTATTTAATCAATTACATTTAGTACATTGACCAAATTACTTCTTTCAATTAATTCATCTTTTTATGTAAGGATTCAATCCTGCTCTCGTGACACTTTTTCATTTCAACCAAAACCTTACATAAAAAGATTAATTTGTATATAAGTTTTTCCTATGAGTTTGTATTAGAGAAACTTGTCTGGTTTTTTCTTGATCATTTATGTATTTATGTTGTAAAAGGCTTATGCCTTTAATTATTATAAATAAATTTTCCAACTAACTACTTTACCCAATATGCACTACTTAAAAAAAATAAATAAATAAATAAATAAAATAAATAAATAAATAAAAATTAAAANCCATATTATTTGTTCTAATTTATTATTATTTTTTTTATCTGCGGTTTGTTGTTGACATGAAAAACCTTAGATAAAAAGAATAATTAATTGGAATTATTTAGAGTATTGTAATTTTTTTATATTTTTAATTTTTAATTTTAAAGAAGTGCATCTTGAGTAAAGTAGTGGAGAAATTTATTTATTTACAATAATTAAAGGCTTAAGCCTTTTACATAAATGAAAAAGAAAAAAACAGTCAAGTTTCTAATGACCACTAAGCAAATATGGTTACTAAATAATAAAAAAAACTCTAAATTTTAATTCCCTTCTTCCAAACAATAGTAATTTAATTGAATATTTCAATGCTTTTCCTTACATATACATTTTTATGAACATAGTTTATCCAGACGAAAACTGAAATAAAAATTTATATTATTTGTTTGTAGCCTATTTACTGTAAAATATGGCAAGTGCATTCACTGTCTACTACTTATAAAGCGAAGGCAAATTAAGTATGGTCAGAAGCAACAGTTGACCTTCTAACATAAAAAATGACTTTTTTTTGTAATTCATTTGTCTTCAACTTTATATGAACGGTAACAATTTTTAAAAATTTATAACTTAAGAAATAAAAATTTCTTGAAAATGGCAGTTGTTGAAACATTAAAATAAGTTCTCTGTTCTATGGGAATGTAGACCAGGGCAGAGACATGCGAAAAAGTTCATCTAAGGACAATTGCAGAAAGTAACCGCGGAACTACTAAATCTAGGATTTTTTAGCACTCGAATTGTTGGTCTGTGGGACGCTTTACACTCCAGAGGCATACGTATAGGCTCAGAGTGGCAGAAACAAGCCTGCGCAGATATATCCAAGTAGAGAATTTCATCTGGTTCTTCATGTTGGTTCGAAGGCCTATGTAGGAAGGAAGGATACATATGTAAGTCCTTGAAAAAGCTTTGAGATCGGATAACAAAATTATGCTTATTAAGGATCACTGGACAGCAATGAAGATGCACAATAGACCAATACTCGTCAAGGTGTACAGGCTGTAAAGAGACCAACTCCTACTCTATCTTAATCTTAAGTCTTCTGGGGTTTCTTCAGTAAAGATTTTTACGGATTGATGTACGATTGAAATGTAAAGGTAAATTTAGTCAAAAATGTAGGTCTTATGAGAGTGAAAAAAATGTCAAATACAAAAAAATTATTTATTCACAGCATCAGTCATCAGGGCATAGCTAATTTTAAAACTAACTTCTGAATAAATACAATATATTACATTAGCCATTTGTTCATGACACCTAATAATTAACAATATTATACAAATATTAACATTATTTATAGAAGGAAGAGCCCAGTTAATTTAGTTTTCCTGGAGATACTAATAGTTGAATGCGCGGCATTCAAAACAAAGACCATTTTGGTCATACAATACGTTTAAAAATACTTATAATAAATGTTATGCACAATTTACATTCAATTGAAACATAAAGAATGAAATGTTCAGTCATTTTTATTTGACTACGTTAATTTTTTTTTTAAAGATATATCTTTTTATAAATCATTATAAGCAATAAAATAAGTATTTAGCTATAATTTTTATAACAATCATACCTAGTTGCTAATAAGTAATAACATATTACTGTCTATTAGAATAGAGACAAGGCTGTTGTTAAGCTAATAAAAAACATGTTTTGTATCTGTGACTAACATTTTTTTGTGGAATGTATGTGGAGTGAATGAGATGAACAAAACCTACACTTCATGCTGAACTATATGTTTTCTCTTCACATATTTTCATCCTCATTTCTCATCTATAAACAAACAATCAAGTTATCAAAAGGTGATTCCGCTAAAAGAAATTAAAGCTCTTGTCATGTTTTGTCAAATTCATCCCTCAGATCTAATTAAAAAAATAATATGTAACTAAGCCCAAACTACACATCTTTTTAAATTCACTTTCTCTTCTTCATTTTGATCTCATTTTCTTAAATTTGCTTGTCATTAAGGGACTTATTTAATGAACAAATTAATCCCTCAAATAATAAACAGATATATCAACAGATTGTACAAAAAGTAATATAATAAAACATTTTGTTTTGTGCAGGTTGAAAGTACTGACAACATATAAACAATTCTAAAACATATTTCAAGCGGTTTCTGTCAAAATTGCACATAGATATATTTCAAGACAGATCACCTGGCCTGGATAATCTAAAACAATTTATTCAATTCAGCCTTTAACATTTATTTATGGTTGACACACTCTTACATTAAAATACATTTAATCCAAATTCTATTGACCACACATTCGTTTTTTAATTTTTTTTTTTTATAATTTATTTTTTTTATTTTTTTATTTGTGTTACTTCTTTCTAGGTTTTCTAAGATTTCATTGCACAAATAATTACAATTTACCATCACCCATATATAATACTTGGTATTATACACTGTACAGTAAATTCATTTATATATTTAAAAAATCATATTAAAAATAATAAAAACAGATTCATTTTAATTATTAACATTATTGATTATAGATAAGATTGTCAAACTTCAGTAATTCTTTGACTTTACATGTTATTTGAAGAAAAAAAAGTTATTAACGAGTAATACGCAAGGAAACACAAAAACAAAAATTATTTAGTCCCTATAATGAAAGTAAGATTACAAATTTTGTTGGCGATTTTTGTTGCAAAGTTAGTTGTAAAGAACATTTAACCATAGCACCCACTTAAATAAATAAAAATGTAAACACATAAATATGTAAAAAATTATTTTCACCAACCTGAAATCAAATTTGTTTGTTGTAACCAGTTAAACTATGAAAAATATGTAAACGGTGACTGTACAGACCTTGCAACAGTAGAAGGACCCTATATTTCCTAATTAACAAAAAAAGAAAAATACAATAAGTTGTATTAAATTTAATCTGCTATGTAAACTAAAATATCAATAAAAAAAATAATAAAAGCCATTCGAGCAGCCTAAATCTAAGGCATTGTTAGGCTGAAAAACAATTTTTAAACAAAAATTTAAAATTTATATTTTATTTCTACAGAATCATAAGGCTGGATTTTCCCCCTTTACCCTTGACATTTATGAATTTTTTTGTAACATATTGTGTTTCCTTGTTAAATTAAAATAATAAAATAAATATTTGAGAGCTAGTATGCATACTTCAGAAGATGGATTTAGCCTCCTACAATAAAGTGACACGTGATGCTAAAAAAAATACGGAAAACAGTTTTGTGATACACATTGCATAGTTGATTTGGGTTAGAATTGACTAGAACCAACTGCTTCAGGTGTCCCAAAACAACTAAACAACCGATATAAAATTGGCTCTCATTTAGTTTCACTCGTGATTTGCAGTCATACATTTTTTATTGAATTCCCCTTAAATTGTCCCATAAAATATTTATTAAATTTTATACAAAATCATCACTGATGTGAAACTTGAATTAATAAATAAAATTGTGAGCTTCACGAGCCTACTGTTTCAAGAGCTAGAGGGATATGATAATCTAATTATATAAGTATCACATAACAGTTGAAAGTTGATAAAAAAAATTAAATTACGAATTGTTGTCGCTACTACTCTCTTACCAGAGAATACTAAATTACCTGTTGAGCGGTAGCAGGTAAATTAATAGTCCTAGTTTCGTTACCTACTATTAACCGTAGTCTCTTAAGAGGCGTATGATGAATTGGTTGATATCTATCTTCCTTAAATTTTTTTCTTCTATGTTCTTTATCTTTCATTTTGTGTTTTTTCTTTCTATGTGTGTTTCTGATTTCATCATCGACCCCAGTGAAGCGCAAAATCTCATACTGGGGTTCGTACGAATCTTCACTCCAGCTCGTACCCGACTCAATTATCTCATCAAGAACAGGGCTCCTTTTCATACGAAGAGTCAGCTTTAAGCCTCTACTTTTTTCTGGAGTCACCTGTTCAGATTCTGGCTTGTGGTCTTCCACCTGGCAACTTGAACCTTCACTAGTCCTCCTATGCGATATTCTAGATTTCCTAAGTAATGTCGGGGTTTCACTTTCATCGCTAAATTCGTAAATGTCTTTCTCACCACATTGCTCGGTATAAATCAAACTTGTCTTATCATTACTTTTTCTCCTTCTAATATTCGCTTTGTGCACTTTCCCATTTAAATTTGTCCGAATATATGAGTTACTTTTATGTTTAACGTTATTTACAGATTCACCTTCACTCTGTTTATATTTTATATAAGATGCTAACTGTTTAAAATTTTCTTTTTTTGAATCCTCACTCGAGTCATCCCGTTTCTCAAGATGTTCAAATCTTAAATTAGGGATCAATTCATTCAAATTAGTACAACTGCTGGTTTTATCACTTACATTTGACGATTCATCAAAATAGGGTTCACTCAAACGCTTATTTCTTAAAGACATCCTTGTTGATGGTGCAACGCCCAATTCTGGAGATGGCACATTGCTAGCCGGGACTGTACTTTCAGCTGTAGGAGTTACAGTAAGTTCAAATGGTGTTGAATCTTCATTCTCCTTCTTCTTAACCTCCTCAGCCAATAATTTGGTCTTATTCCTTAAGTTTCTACTATGCCGCACCATTACAACTTCAGCTTCCTTAGAAACACTTTCCGATCTCCCTCTCAAAGCTGAACTGATCTTGCTCTCTGTCAATTTTTTGCTCGTTTCGCTAATGTCGGTAAACTGGCAACCCTGAGCAATTAGCATTTCCGCATCGTACTTAGTCATTCCTTTTTGCCTGAGTTCCCTGATACTCAAGGGGGTCACAATCCCTTGTGTTTTTACAGGTTCGATCTGTTCTGGAACATCAGGAGAGCTTTCCTGTTTAGGCGGTGGAATACCATTCTGTTTGTGAATTTTTGTTCTGTTGATTCTGTTGTCAGTTTCCCTCAGTCGGTACCCCGAGTTTGTGAGATCTTCGCTATTTGGCTTGCCTTTAGCAAAAGCGCCTGTTCCTCTCCTGAAAAAAGTAGAAAAAGTTTTTCAAATTTCAACCAATCTATATAGATATTTATATAGATACTAAAGGTAAAACAAACCTTTCACATGTTTCACATTCACAATAGTCATTTCCATCCCCAAAAAAATCTTCCCCGTAGAAACATGTGATTTCCTCTCCAATTTCGATATCCCTCAGTACTTTAACACAAGCTGTGTCCCTCCCCGTGGCAACAAACTGAAGAATAAAACAAATGCAAATTTGACCATTAAAGTAACAATAACTAATACAAGTTATTATAATAACATAACATGTTATTGGTTTTGCCTGAATTTTGTTATAAATCTAGTTTTTTATAAAATTATATTTAACACATTCAGTACAGCAGCGCCTTATCGCCTTTGTAGTGTAGGCCATACTCGCACTACCTGCTCGAAAAACTCAGGAACAACCCGCAGCCAGTTGGCGTTATTTCATTGTTTGGTAACCTAACCCTTTTAACCTTTTTCCACTTCTCTATATAGGAATAAAATTAATATAATAATATAAAAAATATATAAATATCTATCTAATATAAAAATAATATTCTCTATAAGTAAAAAAATCCAGTAGTCGAAATGAGTTGGGCAAAATGCATTTTAGGATAGGTTGGGTGGGTCAAACTGAGGACGGATAGAGCAGGTAGAATGTTTCCTCACAAAGCCCACCCCCACTAATCACCAAAGACGCATCTGATGTCCTCCGTAGTGAATGTGTTAACTTTGTTTTATGTGTACATTTGTAAACACAGATTTAATGTTTTAAGTTTAACACTCACTTTGCAATTAGCCCTGCAGTCATGGTTGATAAACGCTGCAGGGCCTAGCCATAATTGGGCACAGTTTTTTCTACAACTAAACATGACGCTAAAATCATTTTTCCCGGGTCTAAGCAGCTGGGCTTCTTCTTCCTCAGTCAGTTCTGCTATGCAACCGACTAGGCATGAAATCTTTTCATTTTTTAACCTGTAAAAAAAAAATTAAGAAATTCTAGAAAATTAATAAAAATGTTAAGACACTTTTATAAACTAAGTACCATTTCTTTGTTGCAGATATTTTTGCACCTTTCTGTCCCTCCATGGAATATCGATAACATGGTTCAATTATGAAACCTGAATCCTTATCAAAGACCCTCAAATAACGGTAAATCTGAACCAATTCAAATTGTATTAGTTAAATTAAAGGAAATCTTTTAAAAATAATAAAAACTTACATGTTGTTCTAGGCGTTGCTGCTGTAATTTACTTCTGATATGACTTGTTCTTGGCATCCAGTCTCCGTTGACAAGTTTCTTATACGTAGCAGAATAATTTTGGTGCTTTTTGAACTCTTCGATAATGTTCTTGATTTCATCCCTGTTGGTTTTGATAGGGCGGAACCTGATGTTCATTTTGTGTGTAACGAAGCCCAGATAAGGGTCCAGGACAACTGAAGTAGCAATGTCATCATTTTCGGAGAGCTCTCTAGGGCTCATCCCGGCAGTGAGTGCTTTGTGTACCTGACCTGAATCTACTACCATCCTGAAATAAAAAAATAGAAAACCCTGTAAAGCATAGTATGACATTTTTCATATTAATACAATCTAGAAAACAGTTGTATAGAGGTAATAATGAGTGCCTTTAACTAATGTGAAACATAGTTTGTGTAGCTCCTCATAAAGCTTAATCGGTGATGACCAATTCTAAACACAGAGAATGCACAAATATTATCACAAATACATATGACAACTGAACAATCTAAATCATATTTCTACGAAAAAAAACAATAAAATAAGAACCGGAAAATGTTTTACTCACTTTGGTGAGTAGTCAAGTCAAATGCTAACTTAACAGTTTATATCATATTCCACAGTCCTCTCTGCATAACCAAATGCATTTATGCAATTGGTTAGAATCACATACTGAACATTTCTGCGAACAAAAATTGAACGGCTTGTTAGTACTATGAAAAACAAAATAAATTAACAAAGACCTAATAAAATTATCCTATCAATAATAAAACAAACTTGCTAAGAATAACGAATGCAAAATGTGATATTTAGATTGAAATGGAACGACGAGGGATAAGAGAATTGTAAATACGAGAAAAAATGATAAAAACTTTATGAATAAAACATTCTTTAAAAAAGAAAAGGATCAAAAAACAAAACAAAAAATACAACGAATGACTTTTGCGAATAGTTTAGGAATAAAAGGATTTGAGTTTTGAATATTTAAATTAAAAACCAACATCAAAAAAATATTTATATGTGTATGACCATTACACTGAACTCTGTAATAATTTGTACGTATAACAAAAAAACATGCAAACTCATAAGTTAACAATAGGACTGCTCTGCTAATATGTCATTGTTTTCAACAAAACATGTTCTGGCAGAGTGAGATTTAAAAACATCAAGGGACATCGGTGGCTACAATGGTTTAGAATGCAGCACTTCATACGGCTTGTTATCAAAAACACCAGCACCCCGAGAGTTCATAGTTGAAATACCCTCATAAAACAAAAGACAAAAATACCTTATACCGCCAGTAATACCAAAGTGCTTCCTAAAACTGTAAAGTAATGTAGAAAAAGTACTCTTCTTATACTAATTTAACTAAACTGATATCTCCAGCACATTTTCTTAACTTCTTTTTGGAATTTTTGTGTTGGCCCAATATAGCCAGACACATCTTTCGTACTTTCAAATTTTAGAAAACACAATGAAAATAGAAATGATTCAAGAAAAGCATAGCAGGTCAAACAATATGTTAAAGCTGGGGTGAATTACAGTTTATGATTCATCAGCAGCATATACTGAGGAGAATCACCAATTAAATAAAAAAATACAAGTATGTACTGTATTTTTCTTTTTAAAAGATACTGACTATTCCTTTTCCTAAACGCCATATTTGATTTTCAGGATGTAGAAGATTGTACTAATTTTATTAAATGTACATTTCCGATTAATTTTTTCAACCTGCTTTACACTTTTAAATATAAGCATTATTAAATTTTAGAAATAATGGCCCTCAGAAATCCATAATGCGACCGACTCTTTCCTGATATATTTTCATTTCATATCCTCATCATGAAATGTCAAAACAGCTCTCTATGCTAACAATGCTATAGCCTCTACTCTTCCTCCTGGAGGACCGATGCAACATTCAACAGATTAAATAACACAGAGCAAGTTTTTGCAATTGTTGGAAAATTAAAATTAACTGCAGTAAAAATAAAGTAATTCCTGTTATACAAGGGGGTTCAACTACCCATCCATACTTTTTATATAATAAATGTCACATAAAATAACAAGTGCAATGCTAGGATTTGAAACCAGAACCACTTACATGGCTAATAAGACAATTAGATAATCCGATGATTAGTTCATAGTAAAATGAAGACACATCATTTTCAGAACTCTGTTTTTCAATTTAATTTACAAACTGTTTTCTAAGAAAAATATAAACAAGTGAGTTCACTATGGTGTGAATCTATTAATTACCCTAGAGTGATAATGGATCAACTTCACAATCAACAAATGACCCACATATTACTCCAAACATATCCAACTGCTCTCAGATGCATTGAAACAGTTGCATGAGATTGTTAAGTGTTCATGCGATTATTTTTGACAAAAGTATAAATTTGGACATCATCAATGGATCCAAATCAAAATTTCTGCTACTTAATCAAGCAAACCAATTATGGACTAAACATTGTTGTAAGATATGGATGATTGTCTAAGTGATAATTAAAAATATTAATGATGGTCACTTTTTTTTTGCCTCTCGCCTTTCTTTTCTGGCTGACTCCTCAACAATCCACTCGACAAACAATCAACAAAATTGTAATCTAATACAACTGGGGGGGGGGGGATCTTGATCTAGAAGTAAGCCTGTTAAGATAATTGTTATGCAATAAAAATAATGTTTGTAAATAAACTTTTAAAAATGAGAGTAAACATTATGTTTAATTTCAATTAATTATTATTTTTACATAAGGTCCTGGTTGAGAAGAAAAAGTTGACATGAGTGGGATTCGAACCCATGACCTTCGGCTCACTACGCCATAGTTAGAGCAGCAACCTAAGGTTGTGGGTTCAAATCCCACTCGTGACACTGGCTTTTTAATCTCAACCAAGACCTTGATAAAAAAGAATAATTAATTGAAATTGTATATAATTAAAGGCAAATAGGTGGAGAATGTTAAGGTAGTAGAGCTAGGGTTTATGGTAGGTTCTATATCTGTATCCAGTGTGGGATTACATAGTTAACAAATAGAATCGATTAATTGGGGTAGCTAAGTGGTCAGTGGTAGACTCTCAGCTCATAGACTCTGTGGTTGTGGGTTCGATTCCTACTGTGGCCCCTGGCCCTTTTTTCCTACAACCCTCCCCCCCAAACTATATATGATGAAATAATCCTCAAAATGTACTCTTGGTAATATGCTAGTTTGCTAGGCCTTTAAAAAAATTAGACTTTTTTCAATGACCATTCCATTTTCTAAAGGTCATCAGCTGTATGTGGATTTTATTTGTGTATTAATTTTGTATCTTTCAAGCCCATATCCCTCAAACTTTTTTTGCACTACTTCAACATACGCAAGGTACTCTTTTTTAAGTAATTTAAAAATATTACAAACAATTTAAATTAAGTAAATACAAGCAATTTTAAAAATGCCAAAGTTGAAAAATAATAATAATAACAAGTTGGAAAGCTTAGAATAATTATTACACATGACGCAAATCAGTCTGATTGGCCGGGCATTTGTTAGGTTGCGCTGCGTGCTTTGTTTCCCCCAAAAATGGAAGGTTGCAAATTTTTGATAACCAATTTTTTTAAAATTTGTCCTTACAAAAAATCTGGCAAAATTCCCTTCTACCTTCATACGTCCTGGAACGTAAATCGTTAAAATCTAAAACATTAAACTTAACCGTATTATTTGTTTAAATGAAATCAGTTGAAAAGAAAGGGTTAGATTAAATGCGCAATTTTTGCACATAACGATTTCTTCGTGATTTATTTAAATTTTATTTATTTATTTATTTTTTTAATTAATAATAATGGTGTAACCATGAGAGACGATGAGGCTAAATGTTTTAATAGTCTTTTTTTTTCAACCAAAACAAAGCTTTTTCCTTCACGCTTGTCATAATTTTGTTGCTATGGATAAAGTGTTACCGTTGGAAGGATTAGGCGAGTTCGGTTGGAATCCAAGGAACCCTGAAAAAGAGGAAAGGGCGATTTCAAAATGTAAACATATTTACACAGGCGTCGATAGCAGGTTCGGGGGATGTTGACACCCAGAAAGGGTTAAAACTAATTAACTACCCAAATAGCAAATACCTCAGATTGTCGAATTTGTCATTTATGTTCCTAGATTGACGTGAATTAATTCCAACAAGCCGTCCCCACCCATATGTAAGGAACGCCTCCGGTCCGAGCACAATGGCTGAGTTTTTTCTTACTGCTTATAAACAAAATCCGTAAAATGGAAATGGAAATATTGAAAATACGGACGTAAAAAGACGCGTGGGCGTACGCCCGGGTCTCTAAAACGGAAAAACAAAGGGTAAAGGATCTATCAAGGAAAATTAAAGGAACATACATAAGAAAACAAGGCAGTTGGAATGGTCAACGTTGAGAGATGGTTTTTCACGGGCCAAGGGACGACTCACCTGAAAGCGTTGGTCTGTTTCCACCGTCTTCCTGGGGCGTTTATCTTCCATAAATCGAGTGGCGAAAGTAAATAAAATTTTGGAGGAAGGAGTTGGCTAAAAAATTATCTAACTCTGAAAGACGCTTAAAATCAATCATGGCAGTGAGAACTCGAGTTCTGTCTGCAGCTTTGACGGAATTCGGATCGGGTTGAAGCACTCGGCTCGAGCCCGTCCCGCGACATTACAATCACCGGTAGACCCGCGGACTTTAATTTTATCAAAAAAAGGCCGAAATAAAAAAAGAGAACGTATTTAATACTGGAAAGGACTACTTTTTCTAAACGTTGGGGCGGAGGAGTACAATGATCCCTTTCTAGTACTGATGAGAATTCTCCTTTCCCTAGATGGAGCTTTCGCTTGACTTTCTTTACCGCTTCTATACGAATTTTACTTTCACTAAAACACTCTTCAGTGTTCGGTTTGTTTTTTAACTTATTCATTTTAATTCTTGATTACTGAAAATACGATGATTACACATTCCTTTAAAGGCAGAACATCGATAATAATCTAGACATATGTACGTTGACCTACTCAAAAGATTATTGCTGATTTATATTTTTTTATTTATATTTTTATTTTACTGGTGAAAAACCCATTTCTTGAAAAAAAAATACAAAAGTAAGTAGAAAAAAAATGTAATAACAATGCTTATACCTAACTGAACATTAATAAAGAATAAATAAATCTTTATAAATAAAACAACATAAAGATTTAATTAAACACCCTGTTTATATCAAAATAATAACTACTAGTTATAGAAAAAACTATATAAAAATAATATAATAAAGCATTATATCTGCATACATAGTACATTTTTTTATGGGCGAAAAACTCATTTTAAAAAGAAAAAGTAGAAAGTAAGAAGAAAAAACAAATACAAGGCAATGTTTATAACTAACTAACATTAATAAAGAATAAAAGACTATACTATACATCAATGAAAAAGACAATAAAATCTTTATAAATAAAATAACATAAAGATTTAATTAAACACCTGTTTATATAATTGTAATGACTAGGAATTATAGAAAAAAACCTATATAAAAATAATATAATAAAGTATTATAACTGCATACATAGTACATTTTTTTACTGGTGAAAAACGCATTTCTTAAGTACACGAAAGTATGAAAAAAAATATATTCAATGCAATTATAGTTATATAGCAGTTATAGTTAGTATTCGAATCCCGCTCGTGCCATTGACTTTTTTATCTCAACTGAAAACCTTAATTAATTGTAATTCAATGCAATGTTTATAACTAACTCAACATTAATAAAGAATAAAAACACTATTCCATCAATGAAAAAGACAATAAAATCATTATAAATAAAACAACATAAAGATTTAATTAAACATCCTGTCTATAAAATTATAACAACTAGAATTATAAAAAAATATTTATATATACATAATATAATAAGGCATTATATCTGCATACATGCTACATTTTTTTACGGGCTAAAAACTCATTCGTAAAAAGAAAAAGTATACAAAAGTAAGAAAAAAAATACAATGCAATGTTTATAACTAGCTCAACGTTAATAAAGAATAGAACACTACACTATACATCAATGAAAAAAACCAATAAAATCATTATAAATAAAACAACATAAATATTTAATTAAACATCCTGTCTATATAATTATAACAACTAGAAATTATACAAAAAATATGTAATAAAGCATTATAACTGCATACATAGTACATTTTTTAATGGGTGAAAACCTCATTTTAAAAAGAAAAATTATACAAAAGTAAGAAGAAAAAAAAATACAATGCAATGTTTATAACTAACTCAACATTAATAAAGTATAAAACACTACATATCATATTTGAATGGAAGAATAAAAGGATAAGGATGAGCCAATACTCATGCTGAGACTGTTGCTAGTCTGACTCCATTATTATTATTATTATTATTAGCCATACAAGCCTACGGGGAATTTTTAAATTATGGAACAAAATTCACAATTCTAATTAAAAAAAGAAACAAATAAATTTTATAATTTTATTAAATTTTATGCAATTTAAAATGGGAATTTTGTATGCATTTGGCCTTCCGAATTAAGAATTTTAAAAAGAAAAAATAAGATTACGAGTGAATGTTTGGAGTCAGAGCTTTATAGCACTCAGAAGAGATATAGCTAACCTAAGATAGAAGGTTTGGATGTTAGGGCGTGAAATGACCTTAGCCGTTAAAACGCCCTTAAAAATTAATAATAATAATAATAATAATAACACTACAGTATGCATCAATGAAAAAGATAATAAAATCCTTATAAATAAAACAACCTAAAGATTTAATTAAACACCCTATCTGTATAATTATAACGACTAGGAATTATACAACAAATTATAATAAAACATTATAACTACATGCATAGTACCATTTTTATTTTGCAGGTCAAAAACCGATTTGTGATTTCTGAGATGGCAAGGAGGTACATAAAATTGGAGTTTACCAAGGATTTCTGGGGAATCTATACAGTTATTAATTAATTTGAAAATAAAAATAATCTCAAAATACTTTCTTCTGCAGCTAAGATGAGAAATATTGATGTCAGATTTAATGGGTGCATGAGAGGAATTGTCGTTGTGAGTTTAATTTGAAATATAATCTATGAAGGAATTTATTTTGAACAGTTTGAAGAAGTTTTATATCAGTTTATGTAGTGTGGATGATTGAGGCACATTCAACAATAGGTTGAACAAGTAAATTATATAGATAGACAAAGCAAGAAGGATTTTTGAACTGATAGATACTTTGGATTATGAAGCCAAGCATTTTAAAGGAGCGATTTTTGATTTCTTGTAAATATAGCTTAAAGGTGAGTTTACTATCAATGATAATGCCAAAATCTCTAATACAAGTTACTCTGATTAACAGGCTTGTTGAGGCCCAAAAGGGCAAGGAAGGACCTTTTTTTCAACATTGAAGGCACTTATTTTTAATTGTTAATGGCAAGGAGTTACATATGCTACTGATCATATTTTTATTTTATTTTTTAAATTTTAATTCACTTATTTTAAAAGGTTATTGATTTAATTTATTTGGCTTAGGTCCTGATTTTTTCTTTTTTAATTATATTGTTTGAGTTGTGTGTCATTAATATTTTTTCACACTCATGAGTAACACGAGTTGTTCAATGTGAAGGGGATTTGCGCAAAGATTGTGATATCATCTACAAAAATTGGTGTTTGATCAACATTTACTAATTCTTAATTGTTCAATAGCCAATATTTGTTCTGGAAAGACCTAGACAGACACGTTTGTTTAAGTACCAGGGCGGAGACCGCGTTAACCGAACATTGAATGCAGAACACCACACTGGGGCTTATTCACACGTGTTGTGAGCTCCCAAAAACAAAGCCAGAAGGAGTAAATAAGTTGTATAGAATTTCAGTGCTCAGGGGAACCTTCCACTTCTAGTATCCACCACAATTTAAATAAAATAAATAAATAAAAGTACTAACAATATTAAAAACCTTGCAGGTTTTTGGCAACATATGAAAATAAAGCAGTTGAAAATCATTTGAAAAGGAAAACAATATATTACGATTCCTTTCTTACCTATAGCATTTTAAGATATATATCTTAAACTATTATTATTGGGGTAATTGGCTAAATTCATACAGTAGCTATACTTAGTTTTTTAAATGGCCATGTAAAATTATCATTGACACCATCGACAAAGACCTTTCGCACATCACCTACAAATGATTGAATTTATTGTACAATGTTGAAAATATGTTGGATAAAACTGTCTCACTAAAAGGTTTTACAACATACTTAACTTTTTGTAAATGGTCTTGCAAATGAGCTTTAACATCATATACTTATTTATTTCGCAGTGTTAATGTAATGAAAAATAAGACAGCTATTACAATCCATTTCTTTCCAAAGATAAGCATTATAATTTGACCTTTTGACTTAATTAAAAACAAAAACGAATATCATCGAAAACTTCTTGGAATTGCCATTCATAAGAAAATAAAAATCTTACTATCATTAAAAATAAAAGATTGTTAACATACTGGTCGAAACTTAGGTTACCAGAAAACTAGCGGTCCAATTTTTTTTACCATTGGTATTTCAAGAGATCTTCTTTCTTGATTTTCAATTCCTTTTGAAAAATGACCATTAGATTTATCTGTACGGTCCGTTGGGTGATGAACCTGTAATTTGGTCATCACTATGACGGTATGTCAGATATATTTAGGAGTTGCCATCTTCATTGTTATGTCTTTATATATTGATAATTTTCAAAGCCTTTCAGTTATAAAACAGTGAAAATATGCTGAGTGAAACTATAAATATTTAAAATGAACAATATATTTATTACAATTCAATTTGGTATCTATATGTACGATTTGTTAACAAAGTGTAATATAATTTTAAGGATAAAGGGACCGTAGCAGTTTTCATTTTTTATGTTTTTGATTTTATTATTACTTCTCCAGCAGACAGAATAATATTCCTTTGCTGAAATACCACTTTCTTTTCATTTTTCTTCATTTCAATAAGGTATTATTATTACTTATTAAATATTAGTATATATTTTATATATATTGTTGTTATAATAGCAATTTTGTGATTGTTTTTAATTTTTTTAAACTTGATTATTTACTGAATAAGTGGTTAATTAGTAGTTTTAGCTTTTCTGATTAAGTTCAAATATTAATATTTAACAATAATTCAAAATAAAATCAAAGTTAATTAAACTTAACTCAGAAAATTTTTACACACTAGCAGAATAAAAAGGATAAAATGGAAAAGAGCAAAATAATACTTGTTATTAAAATCATTCTATTTTACAAATATATTTTATATACAAAAATATAAATATTTCAAAATATTTTCATTACTCTGGAATACTGTATGTAGCCCCATCAGGAAGAGATTTTTTACAACTTTTTGGCATAAGATCGTAGTGTTAAATCTTAGACATTGGGTTAAAAATAATATAAAGAAAAATTAAACATTTTCATTTTAGTTATAATTTTTGTTTACATACCACCAGGGAAATATGAATGAATAGGGAGTTCAAATATTTATTGATAAAATTTGATCTATTTTACAAGTTTTTGTTATGTACAAATAGATTATAATACAATACAATATCAGCTTTGAAAGCATGTCTGCTTGGATAATAAGTTAAAATAGAGTCAACACGTATCTTCTACTTTTAAAATCATCTAGGCACAGTTGTGCTAGTAATTGATGTTGGAACATCGCCTTTATTTCCAAGGGGAGGATAAATGGTCGATATGGTTTGTGGTGCATCTTCAACTCCAGAAACCTTATCTGTGTTGAACGTTGATAGTTTTTGAGGCTCGCCTTCTTTTGCCCTCCATTGATTTACACCATACTCAAATTCCGCTGTGACCTGATTGTTGTGAAAACACAGCAGATGCTTCATTTTTAAATATAACAATAAAGCTATAACCATTAAAATGACACCAAGAATGATGAGGATCCACCGAATAACTTTGAACGTTTCAAGAAGATAATACAGTTTAGCCAATTCGGTTATGCCTCCAGAATGCAAATCAGCGCCCTGAAAAATTATTTATGAAGTTATGGTAAGTCTTGATTACAAATTCTTCATGAAAAATAAAAAGCACCTCTTCAGCCCAGCCAATAGGAAATAAACCCTCTGTTACATTTGTTAGCAGTGTGATTCCTTTGATCTTCTTGAGAAACATGTTCATTTGAATTCTTTTGCGCCCACTTATCGGGACACCAGTCAACTGAAAGGGCAAAAAAACACTTGATGATTAAACAAAATTTATCAAGAAAAAATTATCATCCCTCAAAGCAAACAAAGAAACTTTTATCCATTAATATCACTGGTTTAAAGAAAAGGCTAAGCAACAGTTTGAACTAAAGTAAAATTCTTCACTTTTAAAAGTCAGCCTACTTCCAACAGCTTATACCATTTGGCATAATATTTTAAACTAAGATCCGTCTTGATCATGAGCTCGCTTGAACAAACGTATCACCAAAATAGTACACAAAAGTGCTTACCACATATTTTCACCTTCTTATAAATCAACAAAAATAAGTTTTATCAGTACAGAGAAAATACCATTTTCACCTTCTTATAAATCAACAAAAATAAGTTTTATCAGTGCAGAGAAAATATCATATGGTTTGATTGTGTTATAAACAGATCTCTTTACATTTAACAACATTGTAAATTTGTTCATGTAAAGCAGTGAATTCAATTTAAATATTGTCTTTGTGATATTTTGAGGGTGTAACCCACCAAACTGAACATACCGGTTCAATGGAAACATACGTCAAATGTTTTTCTCTGTCTGGTTTAAGGCCTTCAACATAATTCAAATAAGATGGATCTGCGTCAAGGAAGTGTGGTGGACTGAATACGATAGGAGAACCTAAAATATATTTGTATTAATTGGCATTAAGATTAACTGATACATTAGCTTTTGAGCTATTTTAACGTTAGAATGCAAAACACGTTTGTTACAAATTACTTTTTACAATTTACAAAAAATAAAAATCACCTTGACAGTCAAAAGCTTCAAAAGCACCCCTCTTGTAGCAAAATGGTTCTTTGTGGCTGTCCTCTAGTTTTGAGCATTTACACTTGTTCTCTGGCCACTCTTCAACACTGGCGAAATTGTTTTTCGAACTTTCATAATGATACGCTGTTATTTTGCTGTCTAAGTAAGACTTATTAACAAAACTTGCTGACATTGATCTTAAAAATATTTATTAAAAAAATTAAAGTTTTGTGATTTCAAGTATAGTTTCAAAATTTTCAGACTCTTGAGAATGAAATATTACTTACATACACACGTCTGGTACGTATATGTAAATGTCATTTTTTGGTTCTGTAAGAGGAGGAAATATAGTTGAATCTGTTCCTTTAATTTCACTGCAAGTTGTGTTTTTATCCCAAAATGGAATGTACATTTTATTTTTCACCTCAACGATTTTTCCCAATTCACTTACATTTTTTGATCCAGTATTAACTCTATAAGGACCTGAAAGCGTGTTGTTTTTCTGAAACAATATCAATGTTACTGAAAAGCAGTAACTACCAAAAATGTAATGCATAAATTACTTACATGTCGCAACATCGCAAAGGAATAATGTTTAGTAACTTCATCTCTTATTATCGTTGGTGGGGCTTTAGCTTTTAAACCGTTGCATATCGGCATGGCTGAACCTGATGTGTAATTGCACTGTATCATCACCCCATCAAACAGTATTTCTCTCACTGTAGCACGAATGAACATGTCTGTTGAATTTGGAAACAAAAGCGGAATTGCCTCATTAACAAGGCTGAGCCCAAATGGAAATATTCTCTCAACTAGTATTGCTGCACCCTGTAGAAATGCAATTATTGTTTACAAAATATGAAGTCCACTTTATCTTAAATAACATCAATATATTATTAAATTATTTACCAGAAGTCCTACATTCAAAAGTGTAATTTCTTCGTCGAGAGAATTTTGGACGTCAGTGTCTTGAGCATATCTGTATATACTTTTATCATAATACTGAATTGTTCCATCAGGCCACCAAGAAATGTTGGTTCTAGATTTTTGAATTCTGAAAATACAGAATTTATTCCATAAAAGAGTTAAAAAACAAAAATGAAAGTTCCAAATGAAATTTAATATTAAAATACTCACTCAAAAACATAAGGGCCAGTTTCCTGGAGAATAGGTTTTCCTCCTAGTTGAATTTCTTCTGGATTGGTTACATTGAAAAGGTACATAGAAAATTTGATTAGAACTGGAAGGTTTTTCCAATTAGTGAATCCTTTTGTGTCATTATCTAGAGAAAGATCCTGAAAACAAATTATAAGTTATAAATTTAAATTTATGCTACCTTGAGCAACAACTTAAGTAAAACTAGTGTTTCCTAGCAAATACTGATTACTGATTTACATAAGCTCAAATCTGCACACAAATGTACATACATACACATATGTACACAATTGGGTACACCACTTCTTGCAGTCCATCGGTGATTCCAGCTTTTGATTTACAATAAATTACAGGCAGTCCCCGAGAATCACCCACCCCAGGTGTTGACAGTCCGGGATCAGACCTCAGATTTACCTGTCCAGCCACCAAAGTTGAGCTCTGGAGGCTGTCAGCAGCTAGGTCATTTTGTCCATCAATGCAATCAATTCCTAAATCCATTCACACTCTCACTCACCCTTAAAATACATTGCATATTTAAAATACGTTCTTATATATTCTATTACATACTTAAATACATTCTTACTTATTTACTCACCATTCACTCAGCTAAGGTAGTGGTTAGTGGTTATTCCTCTATCACCCTTTACATATATTATATAACTAACGTAATTGAGGGTCGATGGGGTACTCAGTATCTAACTATCTGCCCTCTCACAACATACATTTATGCCAATAAATACATTCACTCTCAACAGACACTAGACACACAAAACTATTGTTAGTATATACAATATAACCTTGTTTCCTTCAAGAATCAGATGAGAAAAGACCAAGTATTTTTTATCATTTAATTGCTTATTTCTAATTACTAATCTAAATCTAATTGTTATTTACCAGTAAGGCCAGTCTCCTGACCACCCTTCCAAATCCTCTATATTTATTGCTTACAAAATTCCTTTTTTTCAAAATTATTGAAGCAATCTTTGGTCAAACCCCTGAATGAAGTCTCTAATCCTTCCTCTCCCATTAATTCATCTACACCTCTTGAAAAATTAGATAACTCTCAAATCTCCAATTAGTTAGAATCCTTATACTTTCTTGTACCCCTTCAATCTGGCATTTGTCCTGGGTTCTCTACGAATTTGGCTATTTTAAAAATAACTTCTTAGGTTCAGATGGCTATGGATCAAGATAGAATTACTATTATTGCCCTTCTTGATTTTTCTAAAGCCTTTGACACCATAAACCATTCTCTTCTTCTTTCTTAGCTCAAATCCCTTTCCTTTTCCTAAAATGTTCTTCGATGATTTCATTCCTTCCTATCAGCCCATTCGCAAATAGTCCTCATCCCAGACAAGCCCCCTCCTCATCCCTGCCAAACATGTTGTTAGGAGTTCCTCGAGGGTACAATCATCAGCCTCTCTTTTTCGAATGATTAATGATATTCCTAATATCCTTAAATATTGTACTTATCACCTTTACGCAAATGTCTTCTAAATCTATCTCTCTTTTTCACCTCATGGCATTCAAATCTCAAACACACAAATCCAAGAGGACCTAAATGCCATATCACTACAATTTAACACTAAGGAATGGTTCATTTTCTGTTAATTGTTCCCATTTTTATTTAATTTAGTTAATTTCATTTATTTTTTTCTATTAGATTTAAATTTTTATTTATATATTAATTTTGATATGAATTATGCCAAATTTTGTACCTTTTTATGACATTCAATAGGGCCCAAAGACCCAGAATAAAATTTACTTTCTTCTTCTGATTCTCACCGGCGAAAGAAAATTTGAAGCAAATTTTCCCTTATGACTTATTGTTAAATGAAGTTTAGAATTAGAAGAACAATAATGCAGGCTTTGAATCATAAATAATAAACCATGAGAATCATTTGGATTCTTGTTTATTTTTTTCTCGCCTTGTACTTAAACTTGGCCATGTCTCGGACTTGACCAGAACCCCAGCCGTCTGTATGTGCCAGGGGGCTCAAGGTTCTTCTAAGTAGTCTTTAAGATGTTTTATTACATTTGTACATCATTTCTGACTATTATGTTGTATAACGCCTTCATTGTTTCATCTTTTTATATTTCCCGGATAATTAGAGATACCCTAGTAGGTAGTTGTATTCAGCTGTTAATGAGGACAGAGTACAGGTGTTCCCTACCAACCATGGTTTTGGGGCACGCCAATATCTGGTCTTCGTCCGCCATGAATATGCTGTCATATTGACAATGGCGGTCCCCACAACACCAAGTTTCCTAAGATGTACAGGGAGACAATTATGGCCAAATCTTAGTTTAATCATTGTCATGATAATTTTTCCGGGAAAGTTTTTATTTTTAATAATAAAGTTAATATTAGGTTGCATCAGCGCATCGTCTTTCCCTTGATCTTAGTTGTGATTTCATAATAACGTTGCCAGTTTTGCCTCCAAATGTGCCCATAGATCGGAACTAGTTAAAACGGAGATCAATTTCCGTCCCGCGCAGCGTCTTGGCCAGTTTGTCGACCGCGTTATTAAATTTGTTATCACTATGTCCTTTGGCCCAGATCAAGCATACTTTTTTGTGTCTACTTTCAAGATTGAAAATAGTTAATTTGATCGTCAGTATTAAGGGATCCTTAGGAATTTTCGCGTTTCCAAGTGCCGTTTATTGCACTTAGGCTGTCCGACAGAACGATTCAATTTTCGGATCTATTTTCTTCATGTCAGTTTGTTAATCTATTTGAGGGCCTCCAGAATCGCAATGGCTTCGGCATGATGGTTAACAAGTGCGAAGTTTTTAATTCCGTTCTATTATTTTATTAGTGTCCGTGAATGCAGCTCCAACCCCTTTCTTGGATTTAGAGCCAACTTTCTAGAGGGTCAGTATATTTGTGCAAGCACCTATTTCCCAAGCACGTTGTATATCTTCCAGTTTTTCAGTGATATTTGTTTGGCTAGTAATGATTTCCGGGAAATATCCAAGTATTTTCCAAGGTATTACGTTTATCGTTTAATTATTTTCCTCCCCATTGTGAGTGCTTCCAGCTTCATGAGAGTGGACGAGTAGCGGGACACTGTTTTCCTTTCTTAATACATCATCACTGTAAGAAGGTGCTAGTTGTAGAGGGATTTCATTAAGATGTGTCTCATCATCTAGTCTTTTCGACAAAAATTTTCTAGCGATTTTTATCCTTCTTAGGTATAAGGGCTAGAGCCAACAAGGCGTTTGTGGGAGTAGATTTCATTGCCCTAGGCAGCATCGCGCCGCTTTGTATTGCACCGGATCAAATCTTTTCAGATGGATTGTGCTGCGTCGCCAAAAACCATGGATCCATACCTTATGATATCCAACCGCGATTCTATAAGCGCTCGATAGATCATAAGACAAATACTGGGATGGGCTCCGTATTTCACTTTTGCGATGCTTCGATTTACATTTATGCTTTTTTCGCATTTTCCCACCACATATACTATGTGGGGTTTCCACAGGAGTTTTCGGTCTATAACTACCCCTAAAAACTTTTTGTGTTTGAAGCGTGAATGTTGTTGGGACCAGCCGTACTGAGGACCATGTCAGTTAAAAATAAATAAATAAAATAAAAAAATAAAAAAATCAGTTTCATTGTCCTTTTTGATCTTGTAGTAAACACACATAAAAGTGAGCCAGTTTTATTTCTGGGATTTCAATTTAAAAACATTGAGTTAAGTAAATTCCTCTGTTTAAAAAGATTGAACAACTCACTCATTCCACCATTTATCATTTCAAGTAAATTCCTGTCATACTGGAGTGCTAACATCCAACGTCCAACAGCAAAACCACGTTATTATAGCTTTTTAAAATTATTAACCATTAAAATTTCAAGTGTTATGACGTGATTCGAACCCAGAACCAATAGTGTGGCAAAATCGGGTCGGGCGCCCTAATCACGAGGCCACTGCGGCCCCTACCTTCATAAACAATAATTATATGTAAAACATAAGTTTAAACTTACTTTGTGAATTTTTCTCATAGTTATGTACTCGAATCCGTACCATCCGAAATAGCCGCCTAGGATGACGAAGAAAGCCCCGAAGGCGGCAACATAAAGGATCCTCTTCACCGTTAGGGCTCCCATCCTCCGCTTAACTGAAACAGAACATTCGAAATGACAGTTTTGCTAGGGATCTCTCAAAGAAGTTACAATAGCTAATAACAATCCATTGTGAGAAATAGTCGACCGTTTATAACATCTCATTCACAGTGAGAAACGCCGATGAAATTGCCGAGTCGGCGTAATTTACTATTATTTGCACGGAAATAATTCTTTGGGACCGCCTCTAATTAAACGTTGCGTTGTTATTTCAGGATTTTTGTCCTTTGTTAATTTATGGTGTTTTATAACATTGTGAATTATCACAAGGCGAATTCCTTTTATAGGACTCTATAAGGGTTTCGATCAGGTAATATTTATCCTCTCCCCTATCACGTTGTTTTACATTTTCCCTGTAGTTACTTTTTATTAATTCTTTTTTCCTCATTTGCTCCTTACAGTATCTACTTTGTCACATCTTTTCTAATTTTCCTCTTGTTGTTTCTAGATACTGAGTCTATTTCGTTTCTCATTTAATTCTTGTAGTTTCTGCTAACCTATCTCATGTTTCTCTTGTTTCTAGATAATGACTCATTGTTTCTCATTTTTCTCTTGTATTTTCTACTATGTCACTTCTTCATGTTTGTTTTCTCAGCTTCTATTCCGTCACTTCTTGTTTCTCAACTTGTTTTGCATTGTCTACTTTGTGACATATTCATATAACTCTTTTAGTTTCTATTTAGTGACATTTTTTGTAGCTTCTACATTGGCAATTTTTTTCTAATTTTTGTCTTGTAGTTTCTATTTTCTGTCTCTTTTTTTGTAGTTTCTAGTCCGAAACGTCTTGTTTCATATTTTTCTCTTGTTATTTCTACTTTGCGTTTTCTTGTTTCTTTACTTTTCTTAGTTTCTACATTGGCAGATCTTCCTTTCTCATTTCTATCATGTTATTTCAAGATTGAGACTTCTGGTTCGTCATTTGTGTATAATGTTTACTTTGTTGACTTCTTCTATTTTTCTCTTGTTGTTTCAAGATTGAGACTTCTGGTTCGTCATTTGTCTATAATTTCTACTTTGCTAACTTCTTCTATTTTTCTCTTGTTGTTTCAAGATTGTGAGGTCTTGTTTCATTTTTTTCAATTTCTACTTTCTTTTTTTCTATTTTGTACCTTCTTCTTTTCTATGTTTTTATAGTTTGCGACCTCTTGTTTCTCATTTTCCCTCGTTCTTTCTAATTTGTGTCTGCTTATTTCTCTTGTAGGTTTCAGCCTGCCTTCTTGGTTTTTTCTTTCTTTATTTTTCTTGGCACATTGGCAAATCTTTTCTCGTTTTTCTTTCGTTGTTTCTAGATTTGGTTTACTTTTTGTTTTAATTTCCAATTTCTTTCTTGTAGTTATTACAATGTCACTTATTCATGCTATTTTCCATTTTTTCTTTTGTTCTTGTTGTTTCTAGATTGTGACTTCTTGTTTCTCATTTGTTTCTTATAGTTTCTACAATGCCACTTCGTCATGCCTTTTTTTCTACGTTGTCATTTCTTATTTTTTATTTTTGGTCTTGTTTCTATTTTTTTTCTGTTTGGGTCTACTTGTTTTGTCATTTTTCTTATGATGTTTCTTTATTGTCTTCTTGATTCTCACTTTGCTTTTGTTTTTTTGTGTATCTTATTGTTAATCATTTTTCTTATGTTGTTTCGTTTTTTGTGCCTTCTTGTTTCTCATTTTTTTATGTTGTTTCTTTTTTGCCTTCTTGTTTCTCATTTAACTTATGTTGTTTCTTTTTGTGTTTTTTCTTTCTCAATTTTACTTGTAGTTTTAGCCTGTCTCTTCCTCTTGGTTCCCTTTTTTACGTGTTATACTTACTATCCTGTCTCTTATTACTTCTCATTTTTTGTTTTTATGTAAGTAGTTTCTTCTCTGTCTCTTCTTCTTCTCGTTTTTTTAACGTGCAGTTTCTATTTTGGTCACTTGTCACTACTCGTTTCTCATTTTTTGTAGTCTCTAATCCAACATTTCTTGTTTTTTATTTTTCTCTCCACTACTTTGTGGTTTCTTTTTTAGAATGTTATATTCAATTTGTTAAAAACCCTGGAAAAAATCAGATCCCAGTGTTTTTTTTTTTTTTTTTCAAATTGTTTCAAATTTCAAATTCTGTCGATTCACACAATTGTACGTTTTGAGAACTTTTAGGTGTTTGTTCACTTGGGAACTGCCCATTAACATATTTCTTCCATTTTTAAATACGTTTGTTTTAATTTGGACTGAACGATTGAGATTGACCAAAAAACCTTGAAAACTCGCTCCAAACGAGTAATTATTTTATATTTTATTTTATTATTTTTTTTAAATTAAAACAAATCTTTCAATAATTTTTCTCGACTAAGATAGCTTAAAACTGAATATTTTAAGCTAGTGTATAAAAACTCATAAATCTTCTAATTTAACCTTGTGTAAAAGAAGGTATTTTTGGTTTGTGTACTAACCCATTATTAAGGCTTTAATTTTCTTAAATATTCTAAAATTTCTCTTCCGTTAAAAATCACAAGTTGTTATTTTTACAGTGCTCAAAAACCGTTTTACCACTTATCTATAAGAATAAAGTCGTGCAGCTTGTTTAAACTACATTTCGTCCAACAACAGTCTATTTGCTGGGACTGGAATAACTTTTAAATAATGATGGGAAACGGACCGCTTCGTTAATTGCTTAGACCCCGAGCAAAATTGGTCTGCTTTTTTAATTATCTTTTCAACAAAATAAACTTATATAATTCAGTATGTGTACGAGTTTTGTCGACAATTTAGAGGAAATACTTGGTCGTGTCTAATCCGTAAAACTGGCTGTTTTAAAAAAAATAAACAACTTTGGAACCATTCAACAAATATTCGGTGTAAAAGACACTTACCTCAAGCGGGAATGGAAGAAAAGCGAATGGAAAATATCAACAAATTAGAAAACCCATAATTCTAGTCGTGTTAATACTGTCATTGCATGTGTGGTATCTTATGATCAGAAATGTCATTTCCCAAGGCTTAAAAATGTCCGCTTTGGTCCGAATACGGTCGTTAAACATGTTTTACTCTGTTTTACCCCTATATGAATAGATCAATCGATCTAAATTCAATGATATAATTGGGAGATTTGACCATTTTTTGTCTCGAAATTGAGTCTCTTTGAAAGACTTTCTTCCGTTTCAGAAGAGGCCACTTACAAGGGAATTCTATTTCAACTGTAAATTTAATTTCTGTACGGTTTGAAATGTATGGATAAAATTAATGTTTCTACCTAATGTTTGTAACCCCTTGATGAACCGATTTTCTTCTGTAAGTCTAATCCTTTATCTTTTTGCCGACATTGCCCTAAATGAAAGAAAATCAACGGTTTAAAATGACTTCCAAATGTTTTACTGTGGTTTCATCAAACAAGAAATTGTACAAGGGGGAAAGGGATTCACATTTATGGCGTAATATTGCTGAGTAGATCTTTCCTTCGGCGTTTCAAGTTTTATTCGCCAAGTGGATAATGGTTACAAAATGAAAAATAAAAATAAAAAACTGCATAATACCGTATTCTCAACTACTATGAATGATTGAATGATTATTTGAATTTGAATGAATTTTAAATTGAATGAATTTGAAATAATTTAAATGAATTGAATGATTCAGTTTCGCATGCGAATTGGTAAAAAGCCGTCCGAAAGATCAATTCTTGAGTTTTTACATCTATTATCAAAAAGAATCAGCACCCAGAAAAAAATTAATTTCCATTTTTATTCTATCACTATTTATTTATATCATGCATCAAGGTTTGTCCTCTTCTGAACAGAAATCCAGGGGCCTATTTCATAATGGAATATAAACTAATACTATTAGTGTAATTGCTTGCGATTTGTACTGTATTGTTTCTTAATAAAATAATGCAAAATGTGCAATTTAAAAAGTCGAACGCATAAGAAAAATTGTTTAAAATACAAGGATTTCCGTTTTACAAATAGTCATTAATTATATAAACATTTGTAAAATACACGTCTTTATTTGTGATATTAATACATGTCTCAAATCGCCTGTGTTATCAAAGTATTAGTGCAAACTTCCAAATGTTACATTACTTTTGCATCTGCATTTCTTTAAAAGGATTTACTTTTCAATATTGGTGACGAACAAATTACTGACTGTGACTATATAAGGTGGCTTGAAGTGAGAAAAGTATAAATATTTTTTGTAATGCTATTTTATTTGGTTTGGAATTGACATTTAGATTTAGAATGATTGATTACTCGTTCATCAATAGAGGTAAATGAACAATTGTTAAATCTGGGTGTTGCGATACCCGCACAAACCCCGGGAATCAATAGCGGAAGTCTTGCCATTTGAATTCATAGTTCACACCAAAATACAATTGACTTGAATAAACGAAATTTTACAATACTGCACTTATTTATCAAGTACGCCAGCTATAATAAATATAATAAAAATAAGTAAACATCCTCCATAAATTATTGAACATGTTCCAACCGGCTTTAAAGCTGTCGGTTGAACACTTGAAACGGGTCTCGATCTCTGGAACTACACTTTTATATCGACAAGTCATTAAGTTTGATCGATGTTTACAAAGTTGGTATAAAAAACAGCAATTTTTATGAATGTATCGTTTTACTGCATAGATATTGGATTCTCAATTAGGCTGCATTTTTAAAAGAACGCTTGTTTATGACGCCATTAAATCTGTCTGTTGGTTAAGGTACTTACTTAAGCCTCATAAGGCATTCAGAGTTGTAGGGTCGCTTAAATTAAGCAAGTTTTAACCTTGTTGATGAAGCTATTTTATAATTTTGGGCAAGACTGCAATTCTCCCTATTTCCCAATATAATTGAACAGAGGGAAGAAAGAAGTTTAGTACATTCCATACGTATGTAGGTTTCTCTCTTTCCTCTCTTCTATCTCTCTACTACTCTCTTTTCTCTCTCTCTCTCTCTCTATCTCTCTCTCTATCTCTCTTCTCTCTCTCTCTTCTCATCTCCTCTCCTCTCTATCTATCTATCTCTCTATCTATCTCCCTC